ACACACACACACACACACACACACACACACACACACACATACACAAACACACAGGCACACACATGCACATACACTCATGCACATATGTACGCGCACGGACACACTCATGCGCAAATAAGCGCATATACGCACGCACACATAAACATGCTCACACACATGCACACATACATGCATACACACACATACACACGCGGACGCACATACTCATACACACACATACACATAGACACACACACACACATACACACAGACACACACACACATACACACAGACACACACACATATACACACACATATACATATATATATGCGCACGCACACATACACACACACATATGCACACACACACACATATATATACGCACACACACACACACATATATACGCACACACACACACACACACAAATGTGCGCACACACACACATACATATATACGCACACATACACACATATATACGCACACACACACACACACAAATATACGAACACGCACACATAAACATGCTCACACATATGCACACATACATGCATACACACACATACACGCGCGAGCGCACGCTCACACACACACATACACGCGCGAGCGCACGCTCACACACACACATACACACACAAACACACACACACATATACGCGCACGAACGCATGCACATGCTCACACACATGCACACATACATACATACATACATACATGCATACACGCACACACACGCATACAAACTCACACACATAACGTACGCTTCTTTACGCGGGACAGGGTAACCGGCGCCCGAGAGGAGACGGCACCAGATTCGCATGGAGCACCACGCGATTCCGGCCGCGAAGCAGACCGCTCCTCGCGACGACCAAGTCGCTCAAGCGCTTGCAAGCATGCATGCTCGCAAGAACGCGAGCGAGGAAAGGCGGCCCCGCCGTCGCGTTTCCTCAGATGTCGGACACCTTCGACGACTGCTTCAAGCACGCCCGCCGCCACCGATTGCCGATCGCGCCGAAAAGGCGGCTCCCGGAGGAGTGTTCCCTTCTCAACCACTCCCCCAAGGAGGAGCAGACCGCCAAGCGCCCCGCCCACGATGAGGCCCAGACATGCCCCAAGAGGCCGAACACGACCCCGGCCGAGCAGCAGGGCGTGACGAGCGACTGCCAAGCCGCCCAACCGCTTGCAACCAACCACGCCCACGAAGGGCGGCCCCGCGTCGCGCTTCCTCAGATGTCGGACACCTTCGACGACTGCTTCAAGAGGGTGCACGCCCGCCGCCACCGATAGCCGATCGCTCCGAAAAGGCGGCTCCCGGAGGAGTCTTGCCTTCCGAACTCTGCTAAGGACCAGCGGACCACCCTTGCGCCCGAGCACGAGAGCACCAACACTCCGCAGAGGGAGTCTTCCCTTCTCAACCACTCCCCTAAGGAGGAGCAGACCGCCAAGCGCCCCGCCCACGACGAGGCCTAGACCAGCCCCAAGAGACCGCTTGCAACCAACCACGCCCGCGAAGGGCGGCCCCGCGTCGCGCTTCCTCAGATGTCGGACACCTTCGACGACTGCTTCAAGAGGGTGCACGCCCGCCGCCACCGATTGCCGATCGCGCCGAAAAGGCGGCTCCCGGAGGAGTCTTGCCTTCCGAACGCGCAGCTCCGCCTGAGCTACTGACGACGGAGCTCTTCGCTTCGCGGAACCTTGGCGCACCACAGGAAGCAACCTCACAATCTGATGATAAATCATATTTCTGCTCTGTAGTTTGTGAATACCCCCCTTGTATGCTGAATAAATAAAAAATGAAAAAAAAATATATATATATACATATACATATTCCTACCTCTATCATTATCATTGTTATCTTTATAGTTATTATTGCTATCAATGTCATTATCATTATCATTTGTATCAGTATTAGCATTGTGGAAAAAGTTGCATGAATAATATACATAAAAAGACAAAATTAACAGTGTGATATCCTATACCATACGCGTGATATGCTACCTGACTGTGACCTCCCGCTCGTTGACCATATGATTGCTGCCGCGACCTTGGATAATTTGAACCTGCCCGAAGCTGCGTTGATGTTATTTTCCGTCGCGATGTAGGCAGCTTCCAAGGTCGCGGCAGCAATCATACGGTCAACGAGCGGGAGGTCACAGTCAGGTAGCACTTCAGCTCATATGTGATATATATATGCTCTGTATCTCCTTTGTTGTATGTATTTCTGACGAAGATATAATTTGAAACCGGTCAAATACATCTCTTGTATTGTGAAGATACTCATTCTCATTCATACCTTTTCTACATTCGTCGACATGAATACGGTTCATATATATATATATTTACTTCTGCCATCACTGATGCGATGTTTGACTAACTATTTTTTAACCATATTTTTAACCATACACACACATATGTTTATAAATATATTACAAGGGTCTATGAAGATACTCATTCTCATTCATATCTTTTCTATATATATATATATATATATATATATATATATATATATATATATATATATATATATACATATATACCTATGTATACATATATATGTATATATATATAATATATGTATATGTATATATGTATATATATTTATATATTTATATGAGTGTGTGTGTGTGCTTTTATATATATATACATACACACACACACACACACACACACACACACACACACACACACACACACATATATATATATATATATATATATATATATATATATATATATATATATTTGTGTGTGTGTGTGTGCGCGTCGGTATGTGTATGTATATATATGTTTGTATGCGCACACACTTACACATATATACTTATATGTGTATGTGTATATATATATAAATATATATATATATATATATATATATATATATATATATATATATATATATATATATATATATATATGCTTGTTTCTTTGTTCAACAGCCATTTATTCCACTGCGGGATCTAGGTTTCCCACAATTTATTATTAAGAGTTCATTTGGCAGTACCATCCTTGCCTGATTGGATGCCCTTCCTAATCAACCGCGGCACATACACACACCCATACACACACACACACACACACACACACACACACACACACACACACATACACAAACACACAGGCACACACACGCACATGCACATACACACATACACATATGTACGCGCACGGACACATTCATGCGCAAATAAGCGCATATACGCACGCACACATAAACATGCTCACATACATGCACACTTACATGCATACACACACATATACACGCGCACGCACGTACTCATACACGCACATACACACAGACACACACACATACACACAGACACACGCACATATACACACACACATACATATATATATATATATATATATATATATATATATATATATATATATATATATATATATATGCGCACGCACACATACACACACACACATATGCACATACACACACATATATATACGCGCACACACACACATATATACGCGCACACACACACACACACATATGTGCGCACACACACACACATATATACGCACACACACACACACAAATATACGAACACGCACACACACAAATATACGAACACGCACACATAAACATGCTCACACATATGCACACATACATGCATACACACACATACACGCGCGAGCGCACGCTCACACACACATACACACACAAACTCACACACACATATACGCGCACGAACGCATGCACATGCTCACACACATGCACACATACATACATACATACATACATACATGCATACACACATACACGCACACACACGCATACAAACTCACACACATAACATACACCTCTTTACGCGGGACAGGGTAACCGGCGCCCGAGAGGAGACGGCACCAGATTCGCATGGAGCACCACGCGATTCCGGCCGCGAAGCAGACCGCTCCTCGCGACGACCAAGTCGGTCAAGCGCTTGCAAGCATGCATGCTCGCAAGAACGCGAGCGAGGAAAGGCGGCCTCGCCTCGCGCTTCCTCAGATGTCGGACACCTTCGACGACTGCTTCAAGAGGGTGCACGCCCGCCGCCACCGATAGCCGATCGCGCCGAAAAGGCGGCTCCCGGAGGAGTCTTGCCTTCTCAACCACTCCCCCAAGGAGGAGCAGACCGCCAAGCGCCCCGCCCACGGCGAGGCCCAGACCAGCCCCAAGAGGCCGAACACGACCCCGGCCGAGCAGCAGGGCGTGACGACCGACTGCCAAGCCGCTCAACCGCTTGCAACCAACCACGCCCACGAAGGGCGGCCCCGCGTCGCGCTTCCTCAGATGTCGGACACCTTCGACGACTGCTTCAAGAGGGTGCACGCCCGCCGCCACCGATAGCCGATCGCGCCGAAAAGGCGGCTCCCGGAGGAGTCTTGCCTTCCGAACTCTGCTAAGGACCAGCGGACCGCCCTTGCGCCCGAGGACGAGAGCACCAACACTCCGCAGAGGGAGTCTTCCCTTCTCAACCAC